TGTTTTCAGTGGGTGTCTATGTCACTTTTGAACAAAGGGATCTGAAGCATACAAATTTATATTATTTGTATTTTTATATATAAATTCATTTTCGCAATTCAGATCAAGTGCTAAATTAAGTGCTTTTTAATCTTTTCAAACCCCTGATTATATTTTACTTCTTTTTTTAATTGTTTCTTCATTTCTGTTGTAAATGCAACTATTGAATTGAATATATTAAATATATATAAATTATTTGATATTTCTGTATAGTTTTCTTGCTGAAATTGAATCACTACCCCCAATGCGTGTTGTGAATTTAGTTGAATATCATTATCTTGAATATCTTCTAGATACTACCTCTTTGCTATAAGGCCAATATTAAATTTGGCATTTTTTAAATTTATCATAACCTGAAAAAATAAGCACACAAGTCTACAGCTTGTTACAGATAGACAAGTATACAAGTGTCCACCATCAATTAACAAGATAATATAATATTTATTTGAATTCACAATTCCAAAAAGTTTTAATATCTGATGGTCGTCTGCTATCTAAAAGAGAATATAGTGAAATTTGCTGTCTATCCAATTGATCCTCAAGAAAGCCAACAACATAATCTAGCTAGTTAATATCTTCTTGAATAAGACCGACTGATTCTTTAGAAATTAGTTTGACCTGATATAATAAAGATCCACAAATTTGTTGTTCTTGAATAGAAAGAATATATTCTAGTAAACATTTCTTTATTACTCAAATACTTCATAAAATATAGGTCCAACAATTGAGAGAATCTGATTAGTTAGAAGAGTTTGGAGATATGCATTGTGATGGGCCTATTGGGCTTCATTATCTAATAATTGTTGAACTTGGTCGTGCAAAGTACATAAAGAAGAAATGCTACTAATATCTTCTTTAATTAATCTATTCATTACTTCGACCCTCTGGGTACTTTGAATTCTAGCTATAAAATACCTAACTTGAAAACACTTAGTCCACTTTCTGTAATGATTATGTAAAGTATGATTTAAATATCCTTGAAACTGAGGATATTGTTCAAGCAAATGTGTCCAATGATAAAAAAAGTCCTCCTCATATAAGCTGTTCCATGTATGCAAGAATTGTTTATAAAATGATTCAAAATTTTGACCTAGTTTACTTCGCAAATTCTTGTACAAATTCTCTTGAATATGGAACATACAAAGAAAATAGTTAGTAGTGGGCATTTTTAATGATATAGTATTTATTAATACTAGTTCTGTGTCAGAAAAGAGACAAATGGGTGGAATATTGTTGGTTGCTTAAAGAACACAATCGAGTACTAGTCATAGGTTTTAACTGTCTCATCTTCCAATAAACATTGTGCAATAAGTCTACTTTTATATTGTTATTGACAACTACTAATAAAGCTAAATACATGTCAAACCAGTTGGTTTGACATGTATTATTTGTTTGCACTATATCATTATAACATATAAGACACCAACGATAAGAAGTTGATATCCAAAACAATTCGACAAGTCAATTGTCAAATGGATCAAGTTTTGTATTTATGATCCAACTGGGCTCTTGGTCTTTCAAAAGTAACAATTTATTAATTAGATATTAGGCATTTCCTTGAAATTTGATAAAAGGTGCTCTAAATTTTTGAATGGTATTATAAAGGTTTTTTTTATGAATCAAATGATCAGGAAAACTTGCAACAAGTAGAGGGTATATTTGTTTTAAATTTATATTTTCTTTGGTATATAGAACTTAATCTTTTCTATTATATCATCTGACAACTTTTGGCATTTAGAATTATACAAGGCCGTATTTGGTACCATAACATGATTATGCTCACTATCTATACTAGTAACTATTATTTTAGACAATAACTTTGACATGTTAAGATTTATATGCCATAAATATTTATTTTGTTTAGACAATCGTTGGCACTAATGACTTGAATCAATCACTTTATTTGATACTTGTTCACCAGAAAAACTATATTCAAATGTTCAACGACATATGACCTAGTATTGTTAACTTCAAAATATTTATGGTATAAAGAAAATTCTACTGATTTTGCATGTTTGTTGAGATATAAGTCAGCCATTTCGTATGAAGAAAAAGTATCCCCAACATTAATAATAAATTCTTCTGTTGGATTAGTATAAGCATTTTGAACAATATTTGTTTTGTCTTCTTTAATATTTGTAAGAACATTATGAATAGTAGCTAAGTGCTCTTTCTTATTATTTACAAGGTTATCTTGATTAGCTATTTCATGATCTTCCTCATCAAAATCATCTTAAACAGCTATTTCATGATCTTCCTCATCAAAGTAATTTTGAACAGCTATTTCATGATCTTTCTAATCAAAGTCATCTTGAATGTTATTCACATAATCTCCTCTGGCAAACATATGATTGTCTTAAATAATTGTTAAGTTGGCTTCAATATTCATAAGATCTCCATGAACATCTACTTGGTTTTCATCCTCAAAGTAATCAGCAAATGCATTTATAAAATATTCCTCAATGATCATATGGTTGTTTTAAAAAATAGATATTTGGTTGTCTTCACCATTTAAGCCAGCCCAAGCAGTAACCACTTTTCTATTATATTCAGCAAAAGTTATATTGTTTTGAAGATCTTCTGGAAAGCCATATAAATAGTCTTTGTCATAAAGATTATTTCTTTTAGTTTTCTTTCTTACGTTTCTTAAGTACAACATTTTCATAAAAAATTTAAATCAACAAATGAGTATTAAATGCACAAACTCACCTTCCATTACTTCTGGCCACTAAAATATAACTCAAAGGTATGTATATACATTGTGTTGGTTGAATTTACTTTATTTAAAGTTTTTTTTTGTTTCTGTCGTAACTGCTAAATTTCTTTAACATGGAAGAGATCACAATTAACTAATTTTTGTTTGAGCAAAAAGAAATCTAATTATTGTTTTGATTACACTTTTTGTCTTATTTAACTACAAATTGGGTAAACAATTTAAACTCTATGTACTCTGCATAAAAATACTGTAAACAATGTTCATTAAACTCTGATGATTAGTTTGTAGTACATATTTTTATATGCTTCAGTGATTATCACCATGGTTACTGTTAGTTTAATTTTTTACTATTATATATTAAATAATTATATAACAATACAATATAATTTTTTTTTTTTGGTTTTAAGGTGAGGCCTTGCTCATATCTTTATTAGTAATAACTTTTTAATAGTAACAAAATAAATTACTACAGTGCAGTTGCTGAGGCTTCTACTTGTAGTCAGGGCTAACTATTAAACTACTAAATATAAAAATTTACAAAGCTACTACTATTTGTATCAGTACAAATAAAAATAAAAATTATATGCAAGAATAAGAGCTCAGACAAAAAAAAATTTATCTGTGATCTAAATCTACTAGAGTGGTTAAAGACTCACCTAGGTTACTATAGTTAAAATAAAATTTAAAGAAATACTATATTTGGCCCAATAATAGAAAAGATTAAGTTCTATATACCAAAGAAAATATAAATTTAAAACAAATATACCCTCTACTTGTTGCAAGT